GAAATCCACCAATCAGAGTCGACTATTCCCCTCTTCAAGAGGGAAGAAGAGGGGAATAGTCGACTCTGATTGGTGGATTTCCTTACGATTTACGTCTTACGTTTTCCGTCGATTCGTGTGTGAAGGCCTTTATCTCGTTGAAAGCTTATCTTGCTTCTCATTCGCCACTCTTGTGCGCGGATTGCGCGGCCAAATTAAAGCAATATGGCGGACTGACACAACAACTTTTAATGCGCGACATTTAGATTATTTTGACCGTCGAGCTACATTTATTCCGACGAGTTGCGGGACGAGTTGCGGGTCGCGTAGAGAAGCTCGCAAACAGCTGTTTCACCCCGCACAAGTGATAGTTGATAGTTAATTCGGCTTCGCGCGAATCGAAGGTTCGTTTGGCCTCGGTCCTCGGTCCCGCGACGACCTATACGGCGCCGAAATTTATTTCCGTACTACGAACATGAGCCCGATCTTGCGGTTGCGTTAGTAGGATCCCAGGGGCGATTCTATCATCGATAGTTGTCCACGCACGGACGGAGGATGTCTACGCCGAACAAAGGGCGAGGTATGCGAGAACGTTTGCGAAAATAACCTTACCAAGCTCGAATATTTTGCCTCATCTTCCCGCCTCGTCATCGCCTCGTCTTACTATCGCGATTTTCTGTTGTTCGGTCACATTTCTTTCGCAAATATTTATCGGGATGTCGTTTCGACAAGCGAGAATTCTGTATCTTTCTTATGTTCCGCAGGTCCAGGGCGACCGCCAAAACCGAAGAACGTTGTTGCGTGTACTACAGCTCCGTCTAGTACTGGTGCATGTACGTGGTGCGGAGAGACTAAATTGCCGTTGAAGTATGTTCATCCCACGCAGCACGGCAAGAAGGAGTTCTGTTCGCAAACGTGTCTGTCCGAATCTCTCAAAACCTATACACGGAGTGCCTGTCTGCAGTGCGACAACGTGATCAGAGGTTCGCCTTTCAGACTGGAACAGAAGGATTGCCCGACGAAGGATTTCTGCTCTTCACCATGTTTAAATGCGTATCAGAAAAAGGAGACGCAAGCAGATATGAAGAAAAGTAAGTGACTATATGTCTAATGCCCATTTTCACCAACGTCGTTTAATTTCAATCTTAGTTTAACTCACTCTTCGTCCGTTTCTAATGCTCATTTCTACCAGTGTAGATTAACTTTAATCTTGGTTTAACTTACTTTATATCTTTTTCTAACTTTTAGAACTAGGAAAAGATGACAGGTAAGTTAAACCAAGATTAAAATTAACCTGCGTTGATAGAAATGGACATAAAGGAGATTGTTAGAATGAGACAAAGAGCGAATTGAATTAAGGTTCAAGTTAAACGACGTTGGTGAAAACGGGCATAAAAAGGCCACTTCGACCAAACTCCCGATTAATTGTTGATTAAAGAGTTGCCAACATGACAAAATAATTAGTATGACCATTTGTATTTCTCGCGATATAATCGTTCTAACCCAATCATTTGTCACGTATCTTTTCGTGTATTGTAGAAAAGAAAGATATGTAAAGGCCTGTGTCTACAATGCTAGAACTTGGTCCGAGTTCTCGGACCGAGGGAAAGTTACTGAAACTTGAATCGTGGACACACTGAACTTGAATGCAAAACTTGAATAGAAAGCTCGAATGAAAAAATGCAGCACGATTCAATTCCTTTTTTGCCAACATTATTACTTTATAAATAGCTATAATAGTCAACGATGGTCAATGTGACGTTGGACAATGGAAATGTATAACTCTTCTAAATCTTTGATAAATACAGAAAAGAGGATTATTCCATGGGCCTGGGTTCATACATTCATACTCAGCTTTCGACCCCACATCTTTTGACTATAACGTTATCTAGAGTCATCAAAATGCAACTACTTCTATTCGAGAACTTGAATCGAGAACTCGGACCGATTTCTAGCATCGTGGACACAAGGCTTAAAATCGGGTTAGGACGATTATATCGCCAGAAATACAAATGGTCACACTAATTATTTTGTCATGTTAGGTAACCCTTTGATCAACAATGAAGTTTGGTCAAAGTGGCTTTAAGTACGTAGCTTTCGTTAGCGATTCAAGCAAACGTTAAATTTTTAGACAACAGGGATCCATCGTCGCCATCCCCTGTCCAATCTCCAGCTCCGTCTGGATTACCAAGCAACAATAATGTACCATCGACGCAATCTTACACTACTACAAATAATCATACAACTGTATCTCACCCGCCGTCAACATCTACTGGAACATTTCAGTATGAAACCTATCAGACTTTTGATTGGGATCTTTATTTAAGAGAAACAAATAGCACAGCGGCTCCAACTGAATGCTTCAAACAGGTACAGTACAATATAGTTATATGTAATTTTTATTTAATCTTATTGTAGAATTGATTCAATGCTTACAGAAGGATACCAAGCTCTCACTTTATACATTACACATTGCTTATATTTCAGCATGAAGTTCCACCAACGAATGAATTTAAGATTAATATGAAATTGGAAGCATTAGATCCACGAAACTTGACGTCAACTTGTATCGCCACAGTAGTAGGAGTTCTTGGACCACGGTTGAGATTAAGATTAGATGGTTCTGATAACAAGAATGATTTCTGGCGGTTGGTCGACAGTAACGAGATACATCCGATAGGCTACTGCGAGAAATCTGGTGGGATGCTTCAACCGCCATTAGGCTTTCGGATGAATGCCTCCAGTTGGCCAATGTTCCTCCTAAAAACTTTAAACGGTGCCGAGATGGCACCGTCAAAAGTATTCAAACGTGAACCAAAGACACCACGCTCTAATTTGTTTGAAGTCGGGCATAAGTTAGAAGCAATCGATAAGAAAAACCCACAACTTATATGCACTGCGACCGTCGGCGCGGTTAAGGACGACATGATACATATTACTTTTGATGGTTGGCGCGGTGCTTTTGATTACTGGTGTCGTTATGACTCCCGAGATATTTTCCCTGCAGGATGGTGTTTCAAAAGTGGACACCCATTGCAGCCACCAAGACAGAAATGTACATATATAAATATTTTGTAACTTCTACTAATATAATTTTCGTGCATCAATCAGTACATATATCTCTTAACATTATATAGTATTCAAATTTTTGTAATCCACAGTTTTAATAATGTTCTCAATTTTAATCTATACAGCAGGTCCCAACAAGTTTAGGTCTAGGTCCACCAGTAATGTTTTGTTAGTAATGGCAGTCTCTGGGAGCAACACTAGTAGAGAACCTGCAGTTGCATTAGTAAGTCCTGCAGGCTCAAACGCACCACCACAGCTAGCTACGGAACCTGATACTAGCACAGCCAATACCAAGCCGCTTGAGAACGGTCAGTAAATTATAATTATACATCCAACACATACGACGTGCCACATTTTTTTACAAGAAATAAAGTTCATGCAAACACTTTAAATGACGACTTGATTGTATGTTGCAGTTACACTTTATGTCAACAATAAATGTTACTGTGGGCCATATTTTGACTTTCGAAAAGTCAAAGTCATGCCAGCGCAATTTGGCACTGGTCCTATGACAAATGTTGCAAGAGACATCTTCCAGGCATTTTTAATGGCAGCCATGAATCCCAGGCAAATGTTGAGTTTGCTGATAAACGGCGAAGGCGAAACCATAAATTTGAGTATGGGAACTCTGAAGAAGCCTGCCACTGTTAGGTTACCTGTTTTCCTGGAGGAGGAAGACTTCTATACATACATAAGGCAGCAACTTGAAGACCTCCGTGCATGTGAATACATGTTAGTCAGAAGGAAAGAACCTTGCAACAAATGTCCCAATACACCACCACAACAACAACAACAACAACCGCAATCCACTGTTAAAGAAGAACTGATTATAGGAGAAAAACGAAAATGGTCATCGGAAAATCAACAAAACTTAACGTCAACTGAGCAACAGCATGTACAACAAACTACTGTACAAAGTACAAACAATTCTACAGGATCACCATCTGCAAGCAAGCAAGCTCGCAAATCTGTCCCTGGTAATTTTTTTTCCCAATAAAACTTTGTTGTAGGTAAAATGATAAACTGCGAATTGCACAAATATTCATAACTATTATTTAAAAACGTATGGATAGTTATTGCTCTATTGCTCAAGATAATATAATATAAAAAAAGAGTTTTGTGCTATCTCGAGAGTTTGAATATTGAGGAATTAACCTCGATGTTAAATAGCATTTTCATGAAATAATGCGCTAATTAACGACATATTTACATACAGAATTAGAAGCAGCGACGTCTACTACTCAATCTGAAACTTCTGGAAATCGCACTCCTCCCGCCGAGCCAGCGGAATGGACTATTGAGGATGTAATCCATTATATTGCCATTACAGACCCAGCATTAGGACAACATGCAGATTTATTCAGGAAACATGTAAGTTAAATATAAACATGCATTCAATGTGCCTTATGTATCTCATCATGAAATTAACACATTTTTTAGGAAATTGATGGCAAAGCTCTACTTCTTCTCAATAGCGACATGATGATGAAGTACATGGGGCTAAAACTTGGGCCAGCACTTAAGATTTGCAATTTGGTAAACCGTATTAAAGGTAGAAGACATATGCTTATGTGATTTTCTTAGATATGAATATCTGTATAGTGATCTGAAACATAGGCATTTTATGCATTTCAACCAGTTAATCAGACTTATGTTCACAATAATAAAAATAAATTAATATATAGGTTGTTGATAATGATGATAGTGTGAATACACATTAACATTTGATTCGTTTCTGAATTCGTATACCTATATTTTATATAATATCTATATAATTTTAAAGTTTAGATAAGCAAGAATCAAAGTTAAGCTTTTCAAACAAATCAGAACATTGTTTTATTATTTCAGAAGAAGTATAAATTCACATTAATTAGTTATAACGCAAGTATTTTTGTTAATAAATTTATTATTCCCCTTTAAGTATTAAATTAGCCTAATTCGATTCCATGTATTAGATAAGCAATGATAAACATATTAAATCTAATATAGTTCTTACGTACCACACATACATATATATATACATAATATATATATGCTCACAAAAGATAATGACATTTCATATACTTGTAAATATAGTCATGTCGTATGTTATTTTGCAGTACCATGAAATACATATATATTGTAAACGAGATATTTGTCTTGTGATACTTATAAGTAACATTCATAATATCACAGATTGAAACATTTTTTAGTACTTTATTGTTGTTAATGTACATGACATTACTACAAATATATTCAGTTTCCTATTGTGTACTATTCGACATATTTCGACGTAACTTAATAATTTTAAAAGTTTAAAAAATTTTATTAATCCTTTCTTCGTAAAATATAAATAAATTATAGATTTTCGTTACGTTATAGATTATTTAAATGTATTTAGACACATATACTTTCTAGCATGAAAAATTGATAAATACAACGTGTTGCTTTTTCTATTGCGTGATATTGTATCTTTTTTTTTACATAAGATAAGCTACCGGTATTTCGGAAAATTTTTTTAAATTATAAAATTAGTTAACTATGTACGACTTATCATTGCATTACTACTGTGATATTCTCGATAACTTGTACAGCAAACTTGTATAGCAACTTGTCTCTCATGTTTCGCATTGCAATTTGCAAATATATGACAGTTTATACACATTACAAGAAGTTACTTTCTCTATTTTATTTGTCATAATTCATAAATTTATTTCTATTTTTATTTCTAAGGTCCAAAAAACGTCGTATTGTCTCATTTGTGTAAAAACTACTCTTGCGAATATATAAAGAAAAATTAAACATATGTTAAAAACATATGTTCTTTGTAATATTTCAACATAAAAATTTATTTTATGTATGTAAGATTTATCTTTCCTTCTTTTCCTGTGGTATATAATCCTGTATATATATCCTGCACATATAATTTTCTCAGCACATAATAAAATATATTCAAATGCAACTAATTGTAAGTTTAACACACACACACATTGTAACTATATAATTTATTTTAAATTATACAAGTATTATGAGAAATTGTTTTTCGATTGCCGATAAATCCAACAATCTTTCAAATTACACATCTATTATTTTAATATAAATATAATCAAAAATATATTATTGTATAGAAATTTAACTATTTTGCTAAAAAAAAAATTATATGTATCCCAAGTATTAAAATATAAAATTTATCAACTTTATTACAAAAAGCTTACTATATTAAACGAGAACACAGTGCTGAAATTTAATACATGAGAAAAATACGAATGAGAGAGAGTACGTATAAACTTTTGTATTTGGATGTGGTCTCAGTCGTCATCAGAATCATCTGAGCTGCGTCCTTTAATGGTCTTGGTTTTTGGTCTAAATATAAATGGTTTCTTACTGGTTTCTGAAGATTGCAGATCACCATCATAATTAATCACGCCGGATTGTGCAAGACGTGATTGCAATGTTTCAGTGGAAAAATCATCACAATTTCCCAATTCAGTAAAACCCACGATATAATCCTTGGTTTTACCATTCACAATTAGCGCAATTGTAGGTATAATTCTGATCCGTAACCGTTCTGTAATGCATAAATATACAATATTATCACATTTAAATACACTATTGTAAAAAAATATATCTTAAAAAGATATCAAGCATGATAATACCAGTCAAAAAGGGACATCTCTCAACATTTAGTTTACAAAATCTCGCTTCGATGTGTTTCTTTGCAAGAATCTTGAAATGATGATCCACTATTTTACATCGTGGCGAATCATCTTTATAAAATAAACAAGCTATGTTTCCTGACTTTTTAGATACTTCAAAGAACTCTTTCTCGTCGTATAACTCGGCATATTCTCCATGGCCCTGTAACAATACATAAGTTATACATACTTTGTTATATAACATTTTGTACAGCAGTTACACAATTTTTTGAGACATAATTTTATATGCCTTCTTAATACAATATTTAGAATTCTAATATTAAATGCTCTAAGAGCCTCCGCACAAGACTCTCGTATGATAACGTAACGTAGACCAACGCACAAGAAACATATTGACATATAACGCCGTAACCGATACGTTTCTTGTGCGTTGACCCATGTTTCATTACACTACGCTATCATACGAGAGTCTTGTGCAGAGGCTCTAAGGCGAATATAAACATGGCATGACATATTACCGAAGCCAACCAATCCTGCTTTTGTTTTTGCATCCGTTTCAGCTCATTTAGTCTGTGCGCGCGTATCTTTTCATAATCACTGATGTCCAAATTATCTAATTTCTCCAATTCTGCGTCCAACTGCTGCTCAACGTGATTGGCAACTTTTTTGATGTTCTGTTCAAGTACTGCCTCCATACTGCTGTCAATTGGAAGAATACTTGTGGATATCTTGGGCGTCCGTTATATCTTCTTGCCGGTCTGATGTATGTAAACGAGATATAAAAGGTTATAATGCAAAATAAGGATAGTTTTCCACATGTAGCGTGGATGTTAAATACAAAATATAATTAAAGAATATCAATCAATTCGTTGAAGTTGCGATTCGTACTTTAATGCTCGGCGTTTAACACAGGAATTTTACTCATCAATTCGGTGATAACTCGACTTTTATTTTAACTCGCTGTATGTACCAAGGCACTTTTTAACCATATATAGAAATGTCACTGCTGATGCTGAAAGCGTGGCCGTGGGAGTTGGTGGGAGCAGAGAGAAACCTGAGAGAGGCCATCCCGGATCCCGGCCTTTTTCGTTTGTTTCATTTTCCGACGCGCCGCCTGAGAAAGTGCAACTCAACTACGTCGTTTCGCTCAATAACCGCACATGGTTTGCGTCCGTGCTAATGGTTCGTGTCCGAACTAGCCAGCTGGAGGGGAGGGGATATTCTGGCCGCGGCGGCCGCGCTCGGTCGGCCCGGCGCTCGGTGGCGCTCGGCAAGCTTCGAGCCAGGAGAGAAGGACAGACAATTCTCAATTCCCAATTCCCAATTCCCAATTCTCAATTCCCAATTCCCAATTCCCAATTCTCAATTCCCAATTCTTAATTCTCAATTCCCAATTCTCAATTCTCAATTCTCAATTCTCAATTCTCAATTCTTAATTCTCAATTCTTAATTCTCAATTCCCAATTCTCAATTCTTAATTTTCAATTCTTAATTTTTAATTCCCAATTCTCAATTCTAATTATAAATATTTATTATTTATTTTAGAAGTATCAGTATCTGATTGAGGTTAAAGCTCTCGCCAGAATCCGGAGTAGCTCGTGGCTCATGGAAGAAAGAAGGATCCTTCTCTCTGCTCGTGGCTTCTTCTTCTTCTTTATATAATGTATCATGGGGCTAGTGTACAGGGGCTTTCGGCTGCTTTCGGCGGTCCCACGAAAAAGACCAGGATAGCCAGGATGGCCTCTCTCAGGCTTCTCTCTGCCTTTGCTTTTCTTTATTTGTCTTCCTCTTCTTCTCTTCTCTTTTCTCAAATAAGCGAATGAAGATATACACTCGCAAAGATTCTAATTCTTTTGTCGATGTCTTTCGGAATGCACTGACCATACGGGTGCGCAAATATTTAATGTTATAAAAATAATTTTTTGTTTTACCTTTTATGGACATAAAAGATAATTCTTATAGTTTTTTCGTTTTATGAAAAAAATATACAACACGGTATGTTGATAAACATAAATATATAAATAGATAAAAAAATATGTATATTTATTTATATATATCGTAAATTTTAAATAATTTAAATAAATAATTTTTTTTTTAACAAATCACAAACTCGAAAAAGATTTTTAATAATATTTTATCTCTAATTCTCTACTAATATATAATATGAATTTGTGAAATATATCTATCTTATTAGAACGTTCTTTCTTCTTTAAAATTTAGCGTAATACATAATTGTAATTAATTTATATAATACCAGTAAATACACACAAATTATCTCACTTAAATTACTAGTCATGATCACGTTTTAAAATAAATCGGATTGACAGATGTTTACAAAAAGTCCATTATAATTATATCATTGATTTAAATCGTTTATTAAAACTTTATCAGGCAGTAAATATTACAGAGATTTTCATTAGCTTCACGCTGATTTTTCCTTGATATTAGCATAATTAATAACGTCCTACTTATCAGAGAATGAATAATTGAAGGCATGAATATAAATCGTGTACCAGAAAAGCGGAAAAATCGGTTTTAATATGGAACACAGCAAAGCAGTAAATTTTCCATATTATACCAATGCCAAATACTATTAAATAACGGGAACTTGTATTGTATATGTATATATAAATGTCGTTGTTATCATGGAGATTTTAATCCCGATGTATTGAAAATAATATGCGGAAGACATTGTAATAAAAACAAATCACTGAGAATTATGATCGAATATATATTATACAAATAAAAATGTAAACAATATTCGATAATCATACCCTTTTAAGGGCAGAGACTTTATTTATTCATATTTCAAGTGTAGTAGCATATATGCATGCATGCTTGCAATAAAGTGAAAAAAGCTTTTTGATTATGTTCTTTGTAATTAAAAATCCTTTTTTTATACTGTAATTGTAAAAATGAACTCAAATGTAACAAGCTAAAGTAGGCCTTTCTAAACATGCTATTTATGTTTTATTGCGAGTACTATTTATTGCAATACTTTGCTTTATTTCATGGATCATTAATGGAAATTCCTGTAATTTATTGACAGAGAAAGAAAAAATCAGGTTCATAGAAACATCTGCAGCATATAAAATATTCCATACATATGTATAGGCTAATTATGTGGTCACAGTAAAAAAAAGTTATAAAAAAGCTATCAGAAATAATGCGTATGCAATGACCACAATTCTTAATTGCTGACAACAATAAACATCAGCTATTAATATATTACATTAATACTTTAGTTAGAACATCAGTTTTTATGAAAGGACTTGTGATTTCTCTTTTCATATAAATAAATGCGCGATTATATATTAAATGACTATAATTGCAAAATACTATAACTGTATATATTTGAACTTAAGAAATATGAGTGCATATATAAGTCTTATAAAAGTAATAATTACTCTTAAGTAGTTTTCAATTCATTTTTGACGATTTTAAAATATTTTATTCAAAAATGTGATCGAAAAAAAGAATGTAAATAGTAATATTTGTAATATTTTTATATATCAACTATAATTAATAAATAGATTTATAAATGGTTTTGTAACGTTATAACCTTAAAGAAGGTAATATGCTATTATAGTTCTTTTCCCGATGGCTAAAGATTAGATACTTAAACACGATATTCATACAATTATTACTTCAACATTTTCTTTCTTTTATCACTATATGAAATATAAATGATTTAAAAAATAATATCAAGTGTCTTTTAGACTTACAATAGTCTCAAAAAAAGTTCATACAAATATTTCAATTTTTTGAAATCTGAAACGTTTTGTAGAAAAAGCAAGCAAAAAGTAAATGCTTCATAATAAAAAAAATTCTTTAGTTCAAAAACTTTCAACTACCATCTAATAAACGACTTGCTAATCTATTAAACGTATCTGTCGTGATCTTGAAAAGGTCCTTCCAACATGTTTACATTTTCTCATTGCTTCAACGAGAGGATTAAGCCCTGAGAATATTTGACAGCAGAAACGCTTGCAAGATCCTAAAATTTTACTGAATAATACCTGAGGTATCTATTTTCAAATTTTCAAAATGTATTTGTAGATAAGAAAATGTTTACAGACAAAATAATAATCTGAAATTCTTTCACTGGAATTTTTAAACATATACAAGTGACGGTAGACACCGTCGTTTCTTCGAATCATTCACTTGGATGATCCACACTACTTATCCATAATTTGAGATGTGGGATAACAATATCATATCGTACTGGCGCACAGGAATGACTTTGGGAGCATATCACCAAAGATTAGTCGCAAGTAATTCATGTTTGTTGAATATTTACATAAAACAAATTAGTATCTCTAATCAGCCTTGCGTGGCTTACGCTTGCGAACATTGGGACTACTAGTATCAGCTTTAGTATCTTTATCTTTCTCACTCGCTTCAACTTCCTTCGCTTCGGATTCCTTCGCTTCAGATTCCTTCACTTCGGGTTCCTCTGCTTCAGATTCTTCTTCGTCTATTAAATCATCCCCAATATTTTCTGCAATTTCATCCTCGTCTGAACTTTTCTCCTGAGTAGCACCGTCCGTTGCGCCACTCTGTTTCTTCTTGCCTTGTTGCTGTGCCGGTTTTTGTGGAAAAATGAAGTCGATCAAACACACGATGAACTACAATGATAAATACAGTTAACATCACCTGTTTGCTAGGCAAATAAATTTTATACGCTACATAATATAAAACTTATCGCTCACCAATCCTAACATTGTACCCAAAATAACTGTTGCAATAGCAAAAATCAAGTAACTACCCCACACAGGTAATCCAACTTCTTCTAAAAGTTGATTGTGGATATTCTGAACAGAAACAGTAATGTTCCATTAAAATTTTTGTAACAGATGTAATAATGTAATAACGTATAAAAATGTATATAAAGATACATATATAGTAAGTCAAATTTTTTTTAAATATTTCCTTACGTGCATAGATGCAATCTACACAATATATATAAATTGTATCTTTGCATACAACTCAATATTTAAAAAAAATTTGACTTACACCACTAGGCTTTTACTCTTCCATATATACTTACTCGTAACACTTGGGACAGCTTAAAAAATTGACTTAAAATTGACATATGGATTGAAGTTGGACTTTTCCAACTAGATATCGGAACCACTTTCGTCCAAGTTTTTTTAGACACAAATTCGGTCAACGAGGATTTATCTCTTGGGCTCTTATACTGCCTAAATATCCCATTGTTCACACTAGAAGATTAAAAAAAGTTCCAAGATATATAGTTATTGAATTTATAATACAAATTCCTTAATTAATTTACAAAATATTATAAAGTAATTATGTTAACATATATAACATATATAACAACAAAACATAATATAAATTATTGATATAACAAACTTACTGATATATTGTGGGCAAAGCTGTAACCATAAATCTACCACTAAGACCTGGAGAATTCGTCACGTCTATCTTTCCAACATTGATATTTAGCTCCTTCTTCGATAACGCAAGATCCTCCCAGACTGGTTCAAGTGATTTACACGCTGGACACCATGGCGCATAACTAACAAATAACACATGTTAGATTCTAACAAACTATTTTATACATCATCTGTCACAGATTTTAACATATATACGTTAAAATAATTGTAAAACTCAGTTTAAATATGAAAGCTCTCACAACGCTATCAAATATAATAAAATAAACATATATCACGTTAATCAAATGGAATTGCGTGACTCCGTGTCCCGCGTATTTTTCACGGGAATTTAACGCTCGTCAATGACAATCAAATTCGGAGTATTTTTGACACGCCATCAACCACGACGAGTGATGTCGACGTGCAACGGTCGCACACTTACAACTCGACCATCCACTCTCCCGTTAGCATGCGATCCCAGTTATCCTCGTTCAATTGCTCCACCAGGCTGTCCTTCGTTCGCCGCGTGTGCGGGTCCGCGAACGCGCTCGCGTATACGGACAACAGCGCGACGTAAACGGCACAAAATACGGGACCCATCCTTTCGTGCGACGTCTCACTCGGCGACTTTAACCAAAACTCACCGGCGCCATACGCTACGCCGTATACGACAGTACACGACTCTGGCGAGCTGGCGACTACCGCGGATAACGGGGCGCTAATAGAACCATAATAGAACCATGATGTAAAGAAGACAGATGTAGCAAGTCCAAGAATGCGCAGTGCAGACCAAAGCCGCTCAGTAGCAGTCGAACGTGATTGGCTCTTACTTTTAGAACCAACCAATCAACGCAGAGTGTTGATAAGACGAACTCAACAGTTGTGTCTGGTAAACGCCATTTCCTTTGACCAATCAGAAACTGGTCCGAGATGCGAGAAGGAACATGGCTACATTTGAATGTGGCGCAATGTTCCGGACCAAAATTTGATTGCAAGCTGTCGTATTCTTCGGCCGCCATATACGCAATGCTACAACTGTCTTCTTGAATAGAACGTGAGCGAACAAGAGACGCTGGTTTCGGTAAACGGAACGCATCCTCCTGACAAAAGCGTAACGAACAGAGAAAAGAGAATTGGCCGCTTGGCCTCGATTCTTGAATTTATTCGAAAGAGAAACATTGTTCATTTAGCTGAATTTCTTGCACGGTTCATCTTTTCTTCTTTTCTTTTTACGACAGAAAAGGAGAAAAGATGAACTGTGCAAGAAATTCAGCTAAAACAAACGGGCCTAAAGTAAAACGCGTGATCGCTCTCAAGTTCCTCTCTGGCGTAACCTAATCAGTACGGAGTTTGAGGATTTAATAAATAAAAAGTAATAATCTTTCTTATTAATAAAATGTCTTATTTATATATAAGTGCTAAATATAAGTAAAAGTTATTAATTTGTTAAAGCTATTTCTGAAAAATCTGACCAGACTTTGAGAGCCTATTTTTACCATAGGATAAAAAAGATTCACATAAACATGTATGTCTGAAACAACTAATTGCATTTCAAAAATTTCAAGAGTGTTCGATATAGTTTGTAATAAAATACTACGATAATAATCTTTGGAAAATTGTTCAAAAAAACTAACCTAATCATTAAAATCGATATTCCCATAGTTGTTCTAAATATATTTTAATATAAAAAAAACCATATTGTATTTATTAATTCTTTATTATTACAGTAATAAAATTGCATCTAAAAAAAGAAAAGAAACCCGCGAAATGTATGATATAATCAGACTGTGCGTGAAATGTTTATCTAACATATGCTTATATATTATCATTTTAACACATGTCAAAGATGGCGGTATGTTTTATACAGTACGAGGAAAATTATATTATACATGGCGATGAAAATTCTGCCGTGCGCAGAAGTCAAAGCGTCATTCGCGAGTCTAGTGGAGTATGTCCGAATGATAAGAATTGGAAATGAGAATCTGTTATGCTACGTCACGAGTGATGCTACGTTTGAACGTCATTGAGCGTACTTCCGTCGCGCTAACTTTTCCAGACTTGCCGGTCGCGGAAGAAACGCTGGGATTTGGCGTGGGGCTCTGCGACAGGGATGCCCGTTCGTCGTTGGATTTTTCGCGTTCCAGTCGTTGCTTGCTAAACTTGCCCATGCCAGGTCGGTAAATCTCCATCGCTGGACGATCCTACAATTGATTGTCAATAAATATTCTCACTCAAATTAAGTAGTGTGTTAATGAGATTGATAGAGAAAATATAAATCTTATGTACAAGCATCGAAACCAAGTATAGGTTTTATGAATAATATATCATGGAAAAAAATATAGATTCGCGAAGAATTAAAAAAAGTAATTGAAAAAAAAGAATACATTCCACGTTTGAGAAAGTATGTTTACTTTACATATGTATCATAAACCCTTGACGCTTTTTTTTTACATGCAGAGACATACTATTGAATGATGCAATTTTTACCTGATGTATGCACAAATTACACAATACATAGCTCTCATCTTGAGATACTGATCAAATCAGTACTAAAACAATTGCTTGTTGAGCAAAAGATCCTAGGGTTTAATTTAGGGAATTTATCTTGCATATATGTATAGCATTAAAATTTTTGAATGAAAAAATATTCTACCGTGATAAAAACAAACCCAAAATATATATTTTATTTCAAAATTACTGCGAATAAACAAATTGCAATATTGCGATTATTTCCTTGAAGAAACTTTCAAACAGCCTTTCTCCAAAGATGGACAAGAGACTTACAACACTTGCCCGTAAAAATTGTGATTGTAACGAAATTAATGAGAAAATCAAAGTCCATGGGACTGCAGTTATTACATTGGAGAGGCTTAATTCGGGCTATAATGTCATCGAAGAAGCTCTTACGCTTACCTTATTTCGTATCCTACGCTCCAATCGTGGATCTTTCTTATCTTTTTCTTTTTCCTCGTTATCATTCTTCTGGAGGTTACTTTGGCCTCCTCCATCTAACGATTTGTGACGCCGTAAGCAATTGCCATCGCCTGCACCGCCTTCGCCGCTACTTTCGAGAGAATTACGCCTCTTTACAACTTTCGATTCCTTATCTTCGGAATCGTCCTCATCGTTGACATCTGTGCAAATGTGTTCGTTACATCATGTTACATTTGTCACAAAAATATTCGTGCACAGATATCCTCCCTCGTTTATTTAGCGGATTTACAAAATCGATTCTGTTGCGTTGCTAACTAGATAGACATTCGTCAAAATGGGTACTTATTTTACGACGGGAGTAGCTCTTATCTAGTTTTATATAAAAGGACGTTATTAAGTTCCTGAAGATGTTGGAATCAATAACGCTAAAAAAAATGAGGGAAGAAGTAAATTCTCTTGTATGATAATTATACGAATAAACCTTTTTCACCTGCATTGACTGAACCGTTTCCTTCTTCCACACTATCCTGGTAATTCTGTACCGCATCCATTGTTATCCTATCCTCGGCAGTATTATGTGGCTCACATTCGTTGTCTTTAGCATGCCTTAAATCGTCTCCATTGTATACCGACTCTTTGCCGTTTCCAGTTTCCTTCTCCTGTACGATATCATGTTCCTCCTTCGCTTTCTTTGAATTTGTGTTGTCGTCCCCGTTGGCGTCGGCAATCTGTTTTTTCGTTTCTGCCAACTTTTTCTTCTCTTGTCTCATTTTTTCATAACTTTTTCCGCGTCTTTCCTCTACCTTTCTGTCTCTGGGCTCCCTAAACTCTTCCTTCATCTCATACCTTCTGTCGTCTCGGAGATCGATCCTTCTCTCCTCTCTTTCGTCGCGTCTTCCGTAAGGCTTTTTCTCATCGTATCGCCGTTGCTTGATCTCTCTTTCCTTATTCCTATCGTCAACTCGCTCTCTATACCCTTTAATGATAGGTTTAGTTTCTCGATCTCGCATTGACTTCTCTCTTATTTTCTCGTCTCTTTTAGTTCTATTTTTCAGCTCCTTCGGCGAAAGTTTATCCCTCTCCTCTTTGTTCTCTTTATCGTCTTTGCTCGATTCTTTATCCAAATCTGGATTCCTTAAAACCTATAAAAAATTAAATACTGTGCATCTATTTTAGAATATCTATGCTATTAATTTAATATGGTCAGTATCAGATAAACATTTGGCCTGATTTTTGTGTTGATGCCCATTATTCCTTTTTTGCCGCCTGCGGCAACGGACCATTGGACAAACTTCTCAAAACGTGAGGGGACAGTAGTCAGCGACATGAAAATCAGGCCGAAATATTTATCTGATGTCGATCACTGTTCCAATGTAGTTTATTGCCTTTTATCATCTTACAGACTTTATGCCGTTTTGCGCATGTTATTTACTTCTTCATAACGCTTGTCTTACAACGAAATATGAGCACACTATCAAATATATAAATCAGATCTTTTTTTTTTTTAAATTCTCTTCAAAAATTGGGTACAGATTAAAACAGTTACAAAGTATCCTATATATGGATGTATGGAATTACATAAAGTTTCAAGAAAACCATAAATATAAAATTAATTGCGATAAATATGCGATAAACACTCCTCTCCCGAGAGCCACCATCAAACCAGCTCGTCAGCATCAATTTTTCCGTCTGTCTCACGATACAGCAGTGGATCAATTCACAAAGTTAAATCCTGAGAGCTCATTCTCTCTACACGCCGCATTGACGTAACATACGATTCTTTCGGCGTAAACATTGTACCACAGCTTTTTGCAGGTCAAAGTCAGGAAGAAATTCGCGGCTACTAGCGTAAACGAAAAGAATCTCAAATATATTCTGGCGCATTAAAGATTTCAACGGAGAAAAATATGAGTTCTTTCTTTTGCTAATGAAAAACTTTCTTACATGATCGCCTTTGTAGAAACAGAAATAAGTTTTGCAGTTAACTTGATTACTGCCAGTTAAATATTGTTTCTTGACATCGAACATGCTTCTAATCGGTTTTGTCTTTTTAACGTGCTCGTAAAACCTTTCGTGAGTCTTATAAAATTTCCCTTGCACCCGTTTGTATAAAAATCTATTGAGGAAAACCTCTTCTCCGTATTTATATGTACTTCCGTTTTCGACAAAGCATTGAAAGAACGAGTCTTCAAATTTGACATTTGTGGGGTGGTGAGATGTGGGAAAATTGGGTGATTGTTCGTCTTCCGCATTATATATATGCTGCAGATGAAAATCAATATTTGGTATCAGCAAATACAGTAAAGAATGACATATACGCAGCACGAAACTGGTCTTGATCGAATATTGGATTAAGAAATAATTACAAAGCAAAATGGTTATTATCCCATAATATTCCATACTGTATTTGTTGCCAGTTGATGTATCGATTCGATTACTCTTACCTTAGAAATAACAGGATCGTCTTTAGTCCTCCGTCTTTCTATATCCCTCCGTCGCCTCTCTTCACGTTTTTCATCCCGAAGACGTTGTTTCTCTTGCTTACGAAGCTTCAAATACTCGAGCAGTGGAGTTGTCGTGATCTTCTTCACTGTATCTGTACAGTACAATCATTTATAATTTTAAAACTTTTCCTTTATACGCATACATGTATACGCATATGTAATATGTATACATCTCTTCACTTGAATATACACAAAACGAAAAGCACTCACTGTCTGGTGGTTGGTAAGAATACTCGGTTTTCGATTGGGCTACACTTGAATCAATGTCCTGATTTTTTAAATTTTCTAAGAAGCTTATGTAATACGGGTCGCTCTCAATGGTGCCGCATTTGAGATCCTTTTTCTTGCCCACTCGTTTCTTTGGTAATCTTTGAAAGGGTGCAAACTCCACTACTGCGGGATATTCCACACCTTTAGAATCTACGAAGACGTAGTTATCGAACTTCTCCCGAAACATGAAGATGTCTTGTTGCTCCATGAAATTAATATAGGCGCGACAAAACGCAAACTGGCCAAGGGACATGTCAGCCTTTACGAAGTACATATAGTCATGTTCCGGCAGCGGAGAAACTTGCTCTAAGAATTGATCTTGAGTCATTGTTGGGGGCAACCTTCTGATCACCACCTAATCCCAGTTAACAACGTAACATTATTTCGTATACACTTCACAAAAAATATTAGTTTAAAAGATATAACTTCAGGTAAAAATGTATAAACACCTTAAGTTTGTATTTTCTAAGACAATTGATCTCAACATTAATATATCAATTACCATGTCATATGCATTGTTCATATATGAATGACACTTGTTTATGAAAGTATCCCATCATTCAATACGAGCAATATCAAAATTTCATTTTAAAAACCCCATTTCTCCCTGATGTTTCATGGCAAAAAAATAATAATAAAATTATAAAGAAAAACATATTTAGTTTTCCGTGAGGTTTTCATAAAGTTGGAGGTCATTCATATATGAATAATGTGATAGTATGTTTAATCTGAAAATAGTCATCTAATTTTTTTGCGTAAACAATTATCTGGAATATTTTTTACTCCAATTAAAAGTCATTATTATTAACTATATATTGTATATTAGATATTGACTGTTTTACAACTTATTAGTGTATGAGATATCTTGAAACCATGTATATAAATTTATCCAGTATTGCCTTAAAAAGTAAGGAGAAATAAAAGAAAATAGGTATGGATTTACAATCCATAAAGGAAACTACTGTGACTGAGCTTTACTTTCTCGCTGCTGGGATGCAGCAAGAAAAAAGTGATTACTCCTGGATTAAAGAATTACTTTTCACACAAGCTACTTAAATATCAGTATTTTCTTTATGTCTCTCCAGTTAGCGAAGACTGAAACATCTTCAACAACTCGTCACATAGGCCTATTACATCCATTTATCATTAAACTTTTATTCTGAATCTTTCTCTATGTATCATAGTCTAACAATAATGACCTATTGAGTATTTGACCTGATTCTTTTAAATATTTTAAGTCACACAACTGTCCATTTAGGTCATACATACTACAGATGGTACCTGATGTATAATCATTCCATGTTTGTTAATTGTACATGTAACATACCAATCAATAAATGAAATATTTTATGAAATATAATATGTCTGCTTATATACTCAAAATATTAAACAACCTGTATGGTAAAGTTCAGGGTGGAATACCAGTGAAAGAGATACATATAGCATGAAATGTACTAATGTTAAGGGGCTCGAGCGTTGTTTAAAGAATGTTCATTGAGCTTGTATAACTCATATCTTTGTTCAAGCCTGAGATCATTTTACGCTTCAAAATTTCACTTAGATTTAAAATCCGGCCGGTTCTATCACCCGAGTTATTTGACATAACCTATGTCGCGTCTCTGTCGTTAGAAAACGTCGGGGGAAGCCATAAAAAATTGTCCTGTCGCAACGAGAGAAATTCGCGTCCGTTATCGGGTCCGGGCGAACCTTTGTTATGGGACGACATTTTTCTTTCTTGTTATCTTTGGCCTTTCCGACATCCGACGAAGCGGTCTGCGTGTCGTTCGGCACGGAACAGCTGTCGGTCTGCCCAGCAGTAGTCCCAGCACCCTCGGACTGCTGCTGCTGCTGCGCTTCCTCGGTCATTCTGACTCACGACACGCGCTCGCGGTCACCCTCCGAGATTCGAGGAACTTTCGTTGCCGCGCCGGACTTGCACCGGTCCAAAATATATGTCGTACAATTTTGCCCTCTCGACGATCAAACGAAGGACGTTTGATCCTCTCCGCGTTTACGCGATTATCGCGGCCATCTTGGCTCGATCCTGGCGCAGTCCTGGCACGAAGGAGAAGACCAATTGGCTGCGTTCAGCAGACACAACTGTTGAGATTGTCTTATCAACACTCTGCGTTGATTGGTTGGTTCTAAAAGTAAAAGCCAATCACGTTCGAGTGTTACTCAGCGGTTTAGTCTGCTGAACGCGCCCATAGGCTCGCGCAAACAGAACGGACGGAAACGCTTGCCGCGCGGCAAAAGTCAACGTGATCAGCCAATCAGGTTTTTTCGTGAAGTTGATTGGTCTCTTCCCGCGCGACATAAGTGTCACTTCGTCATAAACCATGAAGTTGTCAGCTGTTTGGACAAATTCAGTGGACGCGCTTTGCGGGAGATATAAAAAAATCACAAGAAGTGGCAGAATAAATTGTTCCTCTGATGAAACAATTTCTAACATTTTGTCAAAAATTTTCTAGGAATTTCTCATATTTTAAATTTATGAAAAATTCTAAAAAATATATATGTCAATTTCTCAGATTTTCAGAAATAACTGATGGATAAGAATTTTCAGAAAATATATTTCAGTATCTATATGAAATTTCTAATAAATTGCGCAAATTTTCTCATTATATTATTCAGAATTTGAAATATTTATGAAATATATGTTTTAATTAATTTGTATAAAAAAATCTGAGAAATATTCTTCGAAAAAATCTTGGCGATTCGCAACTTCTGCCAGAGGTCGCGTATCGTCTCCGCGGATGGTCCGCCGTCTCAGCGCCGCCGCGCCGCGTTCGGCGCGTTCACGACGATGCGCGCTGACGGGATACAGGATATATGGCGCGCGCGTCGCGAGGGGTCGCGTCAGTCGCCGTGGGGCCGCTGCCGGACCGCCGCAGTTTTCGCGCGGGGCGGGTGTTGTCGTTGTCGCGTCGCAACTTTTCGCGCGACCGAAAGAGAGAAAGGTTGGAGTTACCGTAGGGGGGAAGCTCGTCGTGCACGGAGGACCGCGCGAAAATGCCGCCGAAGAAGCGGGAGAAGGATCTCGACGGGCAGAAGGGACCTCGTATGGATCAGATCCAGGCCGACCACGAGCTCTTTCTGCAGGCCTTCGAAAGTAAGCGAAAAAAACATCACCGCCGCCGTCGCGCCGCGGCCTTTACACCTCTTTGCCGCCTATCGGCGGCCGCGCGTCACCCCGTGTCCCGTGTCGCGATAAGCGGTCCGCAACCTCGTCTCCGGTCACCCCCGCGTCGATACCTCCCCCCTTCCCCTCCATCCTCCTCACCCTCACCCTGCCTGCGGAGGGCGCGCGACGCCCCCGCGAACGTCGGGGGGCCCCGCCGTTATCTCGCCGCCGCGCGCCGTCGCTGGCCGTCGCGACCGGACCTAACCCTATCCGCGCCGAGTCAACTGGGGCGCCCGCCGTGGCGCGCGACCGCGCGTCGGTTCGCTCTCCGCTCCCTCCGCCGCTTCCGAAACGGACACCTGTCATCGCGCTCGCCTGTACCGAGCTGCCGAGTCCTCTCGTCGGCCCCGTCGCGCGGACGTTTCTTCCTCTCGAGGAGGAAGGAATTCCTTAATACAATCGTACGCTACGTACACCCCCTCTCTCGCGGGAAATATATGCGAGGGAAAAAGAAGGCTGAAATCTTTTTTCTTTTTTTAATTCGCGCGATTTACAAGAAATCGGAGAAGGCTTACAAATCGACGCGAATTAAATATTTCATTGCGATCAATCGTATTGCAGAGAGACGAGAATTGAACAAAGATATGGAAATGCGCGTTTATTTGTCACGTTGTCATGTCTACGCTCGCTATGCTTTGAAATGTTTTTCCTAAGATGATGAACATGAAATGTGTAGACTCTGCTTTTGCGATTACCCGTGAGAAACTCCGAGAGTTCCGAGACGTTATTTTTATGAGGATGAATAAAAAAAAATTATGGGATCAGAGGGGTTTAACCTGCTAGCGTCGTAACAACTAGGGTTGCAGGCGTCTCAAATAATTTTGAGTCAAACCCGTTCATCACCTCCCATTTGATACCTGATTGAAGGATCGTGTCTCGGCTTGTTTCGGGCTACCTTTAAATCCTACGAGACGGTTTTTAAATTTGAGAAAGTGAATTGTCTCGCGGCCATCTGGGGATTCTATCCCGTACTAATGATATGGACGTGAATGAAGTTTTATTTCTGACGAGAGCAAATGTAAAATTGCCAAGTTACAAGCTTAATTTTTGCCAAGTTATATAGTTATCATTATATGTATGTATGTGATATAAACTTATATTTTTTCTCGTTTGTTTTATACACTTTGTCAAAATCCGAACTAATCTAAAATTTTATAATAAATTAAAGAAAATAAATTAATTGCGAATAATGCGTTTAACTCATTCATGTACATGTAACAATACTGCAAATTGGCATGAAAATTGGCGAAGAAAAACTATGAAAAGAAAACAATATTTACATTGTGTAACTTTAAATATCTTATTTTTTCAGAACCAACGCAGATTTACCGGTTCCTCCGCACAAGAAACCAAATTTCAGTGAGTAGACGATATCTTCTTTGTGTTCTTGGTTTGCTTGTAATTTTAACTTGCGTTGCCCTCAAAGCGTTAATTATATTTTGTTCGTTTTTGTTATACGCGAATGTATAATTTCGAAATTATGGTGTATCAATAGTTTTTAACGTAACGAGATATACGAAAGTAAATAGTCGTAACGATACAAGCTTTGATGAGGTAAGTTAAGATATGTTCCTTTGACTCATTGTCAGTTGAGAAGTTGAGATATTGCCTTGATCGAGGTTTATATTTTCATATGCTTTTTAAAATGTCTGCATATGTCTCTATATGTAAAATTTTTATGGTATGGTAGGTATAAAATATAAGTTTAATTTAAGGGATTATCCCACTTTGACGGCCCAAAAACTAGGCTATTTTTAACAATTTTTTTCACAGTAAATACACCATATAATAAATCTTTTTGGGATTTATTAGGGCACTCCTAAATAACACCAAAAAATGTTTGTCATAATTTAAAAAATTTTTTACTTTATCGTTTTTACAGCGTCAAAATAGGGTGTCAAAAAAGATGCAAGTCCGCTGCGTTGATCAGTTTTTTAATTCAGGCTTACCTGAAACAAAAAATCAAAAAGATTCTTAATCTGTATGAGTGTCGCTACGTTCCGAACTAAAATTAATAATTTTTGTTTAAAAGTAACAAAATGTATTTTGTAATGTAAAAAGTAAGATAAAATAAACATTTTGACCTGATTTTAGTTCGGGACATAGCGACACTCATACAGATTAAGAATCTTTTTGACTTTTTGTTTCAGGTATGAATGAAAAAACTGATCAACGCAGCGGACTTGCATCTTTTTTGATACTTTATTTTGACGCTGTAAAAACGATAAATGACAAAAATTTTTTGGTGTTATTTAAGAGTGCCCTAATAAATCCCAAAAAGATTCATTTTATTATATAGTGTATTTACTGTAAAAAAAATTGTTAAAAATAGCTGGCCGTCAAAGTGGAATGACCCCATAAGTTATAAATATTCAAATTATTTAAGAATCGCAAGCTGATTTTCCTTGATCGATGGATGTATATTGAAATTTAATATTTCTTTTTAGCCAATATTTCTATACAGAAATTTAACGTATATGCGGCAACGTATGTCCAGAAGTCACAAGTCACGGCGAGGATTTAAGGCCGAAACAATTCTGGATAAATTACTGAAAAAGCAGGAACAGAATTGCGGTGTTCGCGGATACATGACTCTTACGTTTTTAGGATTTTACGATAAAAGAGGTACGTCTCGATTACGCAACCTTTTTTTCCACATATATCTGAAAATATTTTGTTGATACTTGGTGAGACGTCTCATGTGTAACGATGATGTACTTCTTAAGGTTGTAATGTATAATTGTAGTTGAAGTATCGCAGGAGCCTGTCAAAGTGGAAACATTGTTGCTGAAAATCTGCCATAAGAAAAGAAAAGACGTTAGCTCGCCTGTCATGCAAGTAAGTTTGGTACCTGATAAATTAAAAATTTTTTTAATAAAAGAGACTGATTTAGTTAAGTTAAGTTTTCCATCGAATTGATTCTCGATTAAGATATGGCATTTGTTTAGGTTTCAGTCGGTACGAGTGAGGTCCCAATCAATCCTTCCGAGAGTCAGCCTCCATCGAAGGCATCCACGATTTCCATACCCAATGAATCCTTCAGCTTAAATAACGGTCATATAGCGAAGACTTATATGCTTTTGCTCAGGGTTTACTGCATGTCTAACAATGGCTGCCTTATAACTAACTGTGATTTAGAAGGTAAGGGCAACAGTTAATATATTAGGATATATTACAAACGGTGTCTTTTTGCAGAACCAGCTCAAAAGCGTCGTAAATCGTCCTTGGGTGCGATAAAGGTCAATGGCGAAGAAGTGAAACAGTATGGCTCGGAGCTTACTGTGTATGACAAGCACAATCGATGCCTGTTGACGGACGGCGAGTATGAGTTAGGTTTGCAGGAAGTACAGACCAATGTTAGATCCAGTCCTAAGAAACATAGTTCTTGGGAAACTGTGGCCGACATCAAAGACTGCGAACCGTTCGACATGTTCAGGCAAGGACCGACGTTAAAATTCCGGCTCAGTTGGACGATGGAACCGAGCAACGGTCTGGTGGATAGACCGATGCCGATACCTCCGATACCGAGCGGCGACAATAAAGAGAATCGATCGGCCAATGGTCAGTTCTCCGATATATGCACCACATTACACGGAAACGTAGCTTTAAACGTTTACCGTTATCTTTTCAGCTGGTTTCGAACGTTCATCTTCCGTAAATCACAATAACAATAGCACAAATAATAATAATAACGCAACACTGCCAACGCCTAGTCCGCTAACGCCCTCGTCGAGAATTAGCATCTCCAACGAGAAGGTGGACGCTAACGGAACTCAGCAGATAGTCTATCAATTTTTGTACAACAATAACAGCCGGCAGCAGACAGAGGCCTGCGAAGATCTACACTGCCCCTGGTGCTCGTTGGACTGCGGCAAACTGTACTCGCTTCTAAAGCATTTGAAGCTGTGTCATTCGCGATTCACATTCACATACGTGGTAAGCACACTTTACATTTACATTATTTATATGTAACAAGTACAGTTGGAACATTTACACATATACGATTTACATATATCGGCATCAATAAAAAATATTGCACATTTTTAATATTTCCAGGAAATTATCATTTTTTAAATGTTATTTTATCAGCGAGTATTTCAGTAAGTACTTAGGCGGTAATAATTATAACTTCTAAGCAATCAACAAAATTTTCACCGATATGTACCTGGATTCTATGTTTTTTACAAAACCTTATAGATATAATGTTCCTGTAAGATTTTGCAACTGCAATATTTTCCATTGATGCCATTGATATATGATAATCATACGTTTGGAGAGAAATAAGCAATTAATTTGATTGGATAAAATAAATTAAGAGATCTATTCTCTATGCTGTGACATTAATTGATTGTGAATGCCTCTTTTTTGCAGCCAATTCCACAAGGTGCCCGAATTGACGTAGCAATAAACGAATGCTATGATGGTTCGTATGCAGGTAGTCCTCACGAATTAATTTCACAACCGTCTAGTATACCTTTTTCAAGAACAGGACCAACCAGACGTACGAGCGTGACGAATATCGTGGTGTGCCGTCCGAAGAGAACGAAGCCAAGCCTGTCCGAGTTTCTTGAACTTGACGAGAATGAGTTTGAAAGTCAGAGGCCTTATATCACCGGCCACAACAGGTAAGCGTTGTGGCATGAACAATTACGATAGTTATAGTATAAATAATCTTTTGTCTTCACATTATAAACACGTATACATCCTTTAGACTGTATCATCACACTGTAACTTGCCTGCCTATATACCCCAAAGAAATGGATATCGATTCCGAGGGTGAGAACGACCCTAAGTGGCTGCAAACAAAGACAATGATGATGATCGATGACTTTACGGATGTGAACGAGGGCGAGAAGGAGCTGATGAAAATGTGGAACCTGCATGTGATGAAGCATGGATACGTGGGAGACTGCCAGATACCACTAGCTTGCCAAATGTTCTTAGAGAATAAGGGGAAGGAGTTGCTTATGAAGAACCTCTATCGCAACTTTGTATTGCACATGTGCAGTCTGTTTGATTTTGGACTAATCAGTCCGGTGATACTGTACCAGACCATACAGAAGCTGCAAGAAATCATGAAGGAGGGCGGCGAGGATGGGGATGTGCGTAAAGTGCTGCAGAAATCACACGAGTCTCAGGTGGAGCATTGGATGGCTACAGGTGCGCATGCACATTTAATGTACGACACATCCAAAGGTGGTGTGACGGGCGGTGTTAAGATCAACTTCAACAACGACGGTTCCTCGAGCTCGTCGTCGAACGCCAGGCGAAAGACGACAACCGCCTCCATGCCGTTGGCCTCGCCCAACTCGCAGAATGCCAAGATGCACAACAATATGCATAACATCAGTACGTAAGCACAGAAGCCAACATAACATGACGTGTGCCGTTGCCACCGTCGTCGAGGAGCAAGACTGTCATTCACAATAGTTCGATGCAAAATTCCGTTGTCGGGGCGAATCCCGCCCTTCCATCGTTCTTCGGCGGTATAATCTTCTCCGACGCGGAGCATCGCAAGCAAGATTATGCCCAACGGTGTATTCAATCGGAAGGTATAAGCACGCCGTTTGAGCAGGCGGTCGAACGATCTATCCGCAAAAGTACAAACTTTGTAGTGCAAGTGACGAAAAGTAGCAGCGCGACGCGATCCCGTTGCACCGGTTGTCAATGCAAGCCGGCGAGAGCGCGAGTATCATCGAGTACCAGTGAAAACTGGTCCTGGACGCGAGCATGGCGACGAACAACAATAACGTCGCCGCATCCGCTAGCCAGAAGCCGTCCCCGAACGGAGGTAGCTTCCAGTAGCTACTCATCAATAGTAGTAAGATCGATTTCGCGCGTTTTTAATGCAAATTGCATCTTCTTTTTTGTACAGTATTTGTTGCAAGTAATATAGACAATTATGCAATTGACATTATTGAATAAACCGGATGATTATTGTTTTAACTGTTAAATCGATATTTGAGATTTAATTTAAAGCTTATGTGAATGATTATTATGAATCGAGAAGAGAGATAATAGGGAAGATATCTGGCGAACGAGTTTATTCTGCTCGCCTCTGTGTCGATGATTCCGATTGCGAACAATAAAGCACGATGCTTGCTAAACATGCGAATTTTATCATACTTATTCTTCATTTCTTTTTTTTCTAGTCAGTGGCGGTTTTTTATTATTTCATTTTTTTAATGCTTTTATTTACGTAACATTTCCGGTAAATTCTGGTATATCTGCACAACTGATCTGTGAAACTCATAGCGAAGCAGCTATTCCAAAAGTAACGCAAAATTTCATCATGCGCAATTTTGTATTGTAACAAAAGCGGAGAACAGACGATCTCAGAATTTGAAAATTAATTTTTGGAGGTAATTTCGGCACGATGAAAAAGAATTTCTAGGTTCTGCATGCGAGGCGATCACGAGACATCTTTTTACATTCGATAGATGATTCTTTTATATAGGAAAGCGCGCACTTTATAAGCGGATTAATCGTAGCCGAACTTTATAAACTTTTTATCGCCCTGAATTTAATCATTTTCGGGAATACGCTGAGTAAAAAAATGTTGCGGTTACAATTTCTGAGATTTCAAACGTGTGCATACATATGTATGTATAAAATTATTATATATTTTATGTACATAATATATAACAATTTTATATCTATATGTATATATACAAACAGATATATACACATACATAAAAAAAAGTATAAGAAAACCTGTGAGGCTGTAAATTATACTTTACATTTTCTACATCGAGACGGATCGGTAGAGTGAAAGTGCCTTTTACCAAACCAAGCGCAGGCCTGAATTCGCAGAACGACGATCGACGATATTTAAGAAATATCGAATATTATCATTTGTTGTTATTTCTAAAAGTCGCAGAATTATTATACTCGATTTTAATTAATGAGATTAATCATTCGCAACACACTCGTCTCATTTTTTGGCGATCGTCGTCCTTTCGCGAGCAATTCAGACCTCTCTAGTATATCATATTAGAAATGTTATGAATTTGCGTGTAACATATACAACTTCTACTGCCGTGGTCGTTCGAAGAAGCGCTTACATTCCTTTATATATAATGTCTTCTTTATACTATAGGTAGTCTAATGAAATTTTTTAATCTTAGGATGTGCCGCCGGAGCTTTAAGTTCAACGGAATTATCGTTCTCTTCGAGCGACTTCTAATTCACTGTCCAATAATATTATCTATGGTAGGTTGTAAATAGGAAATTATAAATTACGAAATAAATATGTGGACGTGAGAAATATGTATTATATAATTGTCATTTTTATCACAATCCGAGTATTTTCGCTTTTCCTTTTAATTAATCCTTAAATTATCGTTTGTTATTCGTTACATGAATTCGAAGGATTAAAAGGAATAGATTTTTAGATTTTGTAGCTTAAGTTGAATCCTGTTTTGAAATTGTGCTAAATTTAGACTACTTGATTGTTTTATGTATCGACAAATATAAATGTCCACGATATAATCTTGTTTTAAATAACTTATTTTTTTTATAACTTACATTAATTATAATACTATATTTCATTACTATATTTCGTCAGTATATTTCGTCTACAGAGATCTTAATTTCTTTATGTGGCAACTTTAAGCTCTCTTTCTCTTTGTAATATTAAGAAATATTTTATAATTACGATAATATGTTACGTGTTATCGTAATGTATTATTCGCATATCTAATTAAA